TCGAATGAAATGTAATCATTAGCGTGCGCTGGATACTAACAAAACAATCGAATGGAATGTAATCTTAAGCGTGCGCTGGATACTAAAGAAGCTACGAAACGTAATCTTAGTGTGCGCTGGGTATTAATGAAAAAATAGAATGAAAAGTAATCCTTAGCGTGCGCTGGATACTAACGAAACAATAGAATGAAATGTAATCCTTAGCGTGCGTTAGATGCTAACAAAACAATCTAATGGAATGTCATTCTTAGCGTGCGCTGGATACTAAAGAAGCTATGAAATGTTATCCTTAGTGTGCGCTGGGTAATAATAAAAAACTAGAAGCGAGCTTGAAGAACACTCTGGAAGATTTGCCGAAGTCTCGGAAAGTGATGTTGAAAAATTCATCAAGGGGGAAGAAGATGCAAACACACTAAAAAAAAATTGTCTTTTATCTTGGAATTTCATCAGTACCTATGTAATAAATAGAACATTACATGGCTGCTTGAGGATACGAATTTTATCTTTTCGAAGATAAAATTCGTATCCACGCGCGGCCATGTAATATTCTCTATGTCCTTAGCGTGTGCTGGATACTAACAAAACAGTCGAATAAACTGTAATCCTTAGCGTGCGCTGGATACTAAAAAAAACAATCCAATAACATGTAATCCCTAGCGGGCGCTAGATACTAACAAAACAATCCAATAAAATGTAATCCTTAGCGTGCGCTAGATACTAACAAAACAATTGAATGAAATTTAATCCTTAGCGCGCGCTGGATACTAATGAAACAATCGAATAAGTGTAATCCTTAGCGTGCGCTAGATAGTAACAAAATAATCGAATAAAATGTTATCCTTAGCGTGCCGGTGCCAGATAGTAATGAAATAATCGAATGAAATGTAATCCTTAGCGTGGGCTGGATACTAACAAAACAATCGAATGAAATGTAATTATTAGCGTGCGTTGGGTACTAATGAAATAATCGGATAAAATGTAATCTTTAGCGTGCGCTGGATACTAATGAAGTAATCATATAAAATGTAAACCTTAGCGTTCGCTGGATACTAACAAAACAATCGAACGGAATGTAATCCTTAGCGTGTGCTACATACCAAGGATATATAGATACTAAAGAAAGGACAAATGAAAGGTAATCCTTAGCCTACAACTATATACTTAAATAATAGAATGAAATATAATCAATAGCGTGCGGTACATACTTCAGGAAGAATCGAATGAAATTTAATCCTTTGCGTACCCAAGACACTAAAGAAAAAATCGAAAGAAATGTTTTCGTTATCGCACGCACGATAGTAACGAAACAACCGAATGAAATTTAATCGTTTGTGTGCGCAATATACTAGCGAACCAAAGGAATAAAAGAGAATTTGAGAGTGAGAGAGATACTAACGAGTCAGTCGAATGAAAGAAAATACGTAGAATGCGCAAGAAACTAATGATACAGCCAAAAGAGAATCCTGAGAGCGCGCGAGGTAATACGGAAACGATCTAGTAAAATGTTATTCTAAGTGTGCGCAAGATCCTAACAAAACAATTGAATGAGAGATAATCCCCAGTTCGCGCGAAATGTTAACGAAACAAGTCTGGGAAAGATACTAACAAAATAAGAGAATGAAATGTAATTCTAAGTGTGCGCGATAGACTAAAGAAACAATCGAATGAAATGTAATCTTCAGCTCGCGCAAAGCCATCCACTGAAGATAATCCTAAGTGTGGGCTAGATACTAACGAAACAAGGGAATGAAATGTAATTCTAGGTGTGCCCGAGGTACTAAAGAAATAAGCGAATGAAATGTAATTTTATGTGCGCGCAAAAAAATAAAAACATCGAATGAAATGTAATCCTTGGTGTGCCCCAGAAACTAACAGAACAAGGGAACGAAATATAATCCTAACTGTGCGCAAAATACTAAGAAAACAATTAAATGAAGTGTAATCCTGAGAGTACATAAGATACCGACGAAACAACCGAATCAGATGTAATCCTAACTGTGTGTGAGATACTAAGATAATGCTAAGTCTACGCGAGATACTAACTAAACAATGAAATGAAAGGTAATCCTAAGTTTGCGCGATGCACACACAAAACAAACGAATGAAATCTAATCCTCAGTGTGCGCGAAATACTAACAAAAAAATTGAATGAAATGTAATCTTAGGTGCGCGTTATATGCTAACGAATTAAAGAAATAAAAGAGACTCTTAGAGCGTGCGAGTCACTAACGAATGAAATGAGAATGAAAATGATTCAATCGAAACAAAGAGAATCCTAAGAGAGCGTGACTAAGTGTCGAAAAAAATCGTATGAAAGGTTGTCGTAAGTAAGCGCAAGATACTATGGAAAAGAGCAAATGAAATGTAGACCTAGTGTGCGCAAGATATTAACAAAACAATAAAATGAAATGTAATCCTCGGTTCGCGCGAGATATTAACGAAGCAATCCTAAGTGTAAGCAAGATACTAACGAAATAATTGAATGAAATTTAATCCTAAGAGCGTGTGTGATAATAACGAAACAATCGAATGAAACGTTATTCTATATGTGCGCAGGATACTAACAAAACAGCCGAATGAACTGTAATCCTTAGTGTGCGCGAGATACTAACGAAAGAAGCGAGTAACCCTAAGTGTGCACAAGATGCTAATGAAACAATCGCATGAGAAAGAGACCTAAGAGTGCGCGAGATACTAACGAAACAATTGAATTCAATCAATTCTTTTTTTCAGGCTTCGTTTCTGCAACTGCAGCTCTCCTGTGAGGATTATTGCGTACCTTGTTTCTATTATTGGTAACACTTTACCGTTGCAGCGACATATTCAAACTTAATGAACATCACTTGGTTCAAAAGATGTTATTGCAAATGGTCTTTTCTTGAAGTGCACCAAAATTTTGAACCCCTTGGATGCAAACTTTTAAGTTACCAACAACAATTCAATACTATCTTCCAGAGGGGAAGAGGAATCCAAAGGAAGGAATGTCCCAAAATATTTCAATTTGTGATATGCAGACTATTTGTTACTTTGTTAGGATGAAGGTGTATGTGTGGTGTTTCTTGAAACAATGGCTCACTATAACTGTCATAAACGAAAGAGTCTAACAATTTCAGCCATCAATATTGCTTTTAACCCTTTACAAAAACATCAGTATAAATGTTTTCCACACTGTTCTTTATACATTTCCTAAGGAGCTGAAAAGGAGAATTTGTTTAACAATCAAGAGCTTTGGTGGTTGGTGATCATTTTCTTCATTCTTGTGACCTTCCTGGATGAAACTGTAAGGAAAAATTGTGTGCTAGTTACTTTTTGGGGTCCAAAATTCATCACTTTAAGAATGAATTGTCCTCACTCCAACCTGTCAAGAGTTGACCCACAAATCCCCCACAATTGTATTGTCCTTTTGAAAATAAAGATGAAATTGGTTAAAACTATGTATCTAATATGTCAAACTGTTAAGATTATTATACATTCCACTCACTATCTCTTTTGTGATAGGCTGAAAGTGTACAGTGAATTTTCAAAATCAGTGCCTAAGATATAATCTAACTGCAGATTATACAATAATCATGTCAAGGACACTAAAAGTCACAGGTAATCATGTCATGTATGACCTTGCTGCATGATTTCTAAGGTTATTCATGTCAAGTTTGTAACTTTGTTGCTGATTTGTATATTTTTACAAGTTTAGAAATAAATTACCAGTTCCACTTCCTGTCATGACCATTTTTTTTTTCGTTCAATGTATAATTAAATGATTATTTGATTCGGTTTTTTTATCCAGATTATTAAGGTCTCGGTAAAGGTTATCAGCCTCTGCTTTGACTGATAACCTCTACCTCGACTTTGATTATTCATCCAGTCATTGTTTGGAAAGGAATCAAGTCATTTGAAGGCCTTTTACGGCAAGAGGTTCAAAACCCAGCGAGGAATAGGACCTGAATTGATTACAGCGTAAATCACAAAATTTAGGACAGACTTTGAGCCACACAAAATTTTTGTCATTTCCTAACAGTTTAACCTTAGGGATTATTTGATACGATACTGCAAACTTTGTTCATTAATGCTAAAAACAACAGACAACGTGCCCGTGACCGCAAAGGTTTAAATTTCCCGCTGGAATGATGTTTACGGCACAAAGAGACCCACAAAAACAGTCAGATAACAGCGAGACTCTACCGAGTTAACTGATTACGTACAAGATCATTTAGGAAATAGTTTAAGAGACAAACCTGCACAAAGTTGCCAATGTAAAGCACGGCCACCTTCTCAATGTTTTGCTGCATTTGTAGCCCCTTGCTCCCCATTTTTGTGATAAAACGAAGGAAAAGTTGTTCTAAAAGGTTGATGATATAAAAAACGAAGTGGTCGTGGGTAGTTTATCTTAAAATACGTATTTTACCTCCGCTAACCTCAATTCTTACCAGTCGCCATGTTGAAATGCACTTAGTCCCAGGCTCTCCGCGTCTCGTAAATAAAATTGGCGGGAAAATGACGACAGGCAAGTATAAAACGCGGGAAATACAGTTAACAGGCCGGGAGTCAGGTAGTGTCGAATTGCATGTCTGATTATCAACTGAAAAGGGTCGAGAAATAAATTTAGTGAAACTTCTATAATTAAAGTGGGGGTAATTTAATCGATAAAGAGAGAATAAGTAAAGTGGTACAAAGTCTAATCTTTCATATTGATGGAATGCTTTTTACAACAAGATTGAATAAAAGAACACTATTATAACAAAATGTTTAAAGACAGATGTTGCAAGAAAATGATGATATGACTAAAATCAGGAATCGAGAAAGTTTTTCTGTATTTTTCAATGTATATGAGGTATGTCTTTGTCTAAGTTCCTATTCCGTGTGTTTATTACATTCAGGCAACCAAACTCTACACATTCTTCCCATGTGATTGTTTGTTTTCATCCACTTCAGAAAAGATACACAATTGATGTTAGTGAATTTCTTTTTTATTTTTTTCAATCCACAAAGTTATACAAAGTTGTGGATGTTTGATCTATTTTGGCTCTGGATTAACCAAGTGAAGACCATAAAAGAAAGTTAAGCAGGAGCCATTTAGGAGCTGCAAAAGAAAATTTTCTTAGTAACTAGAACAATAATATGATGCGACCCTTTACACCATGCTAAAATGCACAGTTTGCTATTCTATTCCTTCAGCATGTGTGCCACTTCTTCATTCTTGCCTTCTTTGATATCATTTGTGATCTATAACATCATAGACACACAGCGAAATGCAATCTATTTGTAAAATAGATCACTTATCTGGTCACTGAAGAATAAAGTGGCACACAAATCTTTTCTGTGGTCCACAATGGAACAGTTGTTGGTTTAAAATTATTATAAACTTGCTGAATAGGATGCAACTCTTCAAGAAAAAAAATTTTAATAAGGTAAGATATTTCCAGGTCAAACAAAAACTTCAAGACCAACCAGGGTTGAGATTCAAGTCAAATAATAAAGTATCTTCTGATTGGATGAAAAAAAGGTGAGCTTTCAGCTTTCAGCTTTCAGTATAAACCTTCTAAAAATTAGCATCAGTAATGACTCAGTTTCTTTTTCTTTTTCATAAAATGCCCTCCTTTTAAAAATCCAGGAAAATCTTGCACACATTTCCAAAACTGTGCCATATTACGCAAAAGGTTCCCTCTTTTCAAAATGTTTTAAAATGTGCCCCCTAGTTTTATTTTTTTCATGGGAGGGTTCCTCACCCTATGCACATCTTGGGAATGTCAAGCACTTAAGGGTTACTTTTTCATATTACAGCTATAGTAAAGTCTGATTTGGGGTTGATCAACTAAATGTCAAGTTAAGGTCCAGCGGAAAGGAACTGGAAGTGTCTCTTTAGCCTATAGTACCATAAAGTATACCGGGAAAAAAAACTCAATCAATTGATAAATGTTCTTGGGCCTTTGCTAAAACGATGGGTTTTTTTATGTCTAACAGACAAATCCCTTGGCTCAGAAATAAGGGACTTGTGTAGCTGGGTTAAAGGTTATGGGCTAATACCCCTTTAAAAAATTACCCCTTGACAAAGACATACACAAGTCAAGTACTCAGATCAAATATACCAACTAGCCTGACAGATCACTAGCATATAACTCATACTCAGTTGAAAGAAAATAATCCTTTCAAAAGTTATAGTCTAATAACACATCAAGAAAATCCATTATTTGATGACATTTGTATTCTCAACATGAGACCTCACTTGCTTTTGAGGCAATTATAATTAACAGTAATACACAATTACTCATCATCTTTTCTTTCTTCTTTTAGTTCAAATATTTTGTTTGCAAATTCTATGGCCTCCTCTACACCTTCACATTTGCTCTTCCACAGTTCAGGAATCTCATTTACTCCCCAGTAAGCTCCACTGATTGCTCCTGCCATGCTAGCAATTGTGTCTGTATCACCTCCCAAAGAGATGGCATAGTTAACTGATTCTTGAAATGACTCTCGTCCCTTGTGAAGAAATGAAAATATTGCAGCGGGAACTGCTTCCTCAGCTCTTATCCCATTTCCAAATGTTTCCACCACTGTCTCAGGTTCCAGTGTTTCACCTTTATTTAACAGTTCTTTCATTTCTTTTAATTTCTTGAAATAAGAAAAAGGTTTCTTTTGAGGTGAAGAAGTTGAAATGTGGCCACTAAGAGAAGAAAAAAAACAAATAAAGAGGAAACAAATGAATAGATAAATAATAAAAGAATACTACTCACATATACCACTACACATAAAATTTACTAATTATGTGGGCTACCAACACACAAGGATGACCCTGTACCCCCAGCAATTATTTCAACATTCTTATTGGCTCAGAGCAAGTTTATTTGATCCTAAAAAGTTTCCAATGTGTGCATAAAGTTTAATTTAATATCTTTTAGTTTTCAGTATTCAAATAATTTCATTGCAAAAAGCAGTCATCAATGTTTTAGAAACTATGAATTGTGATTTCCCTACATATACATGCTTGCTGGCTTTGAAAGTACAAAATCTGCTCCAAATTGTAATTCAGATCATTTGATTGTCTACATTTATCATACAACTGATAAAACACTATTTCTTGTTCAGTGTAGAACAGGGCACACAAAAATGATTTCCCAACCTATTTGAAAACCATAAATTACCAATGTATGTATTAGTTAATTAATGCACATTATCAGTATCAACATTAATATCAACGACTAACATCCTGATAATTTTGTCATGATTGGAATTATTTATAGTAGAAACTATCAAATATCAACTGTCATCTACTAGATCCCTTTTAAAAATTAAATCCATAAAAGTACTGAGTTGAAATAAAAACTTTGCTCATTATTACATTACCTATCTTCTTTTTCTTTACTAGATTCTTCATACTCTTCCTCAAGCTTTTTGGCCACTTCAAGGAGGTCATCAATAAATTTGTCTGTGTTTAAGTTTGGTGGTTCAAGGGGAAGAGCTTTGAACACTGCCTCTGCTTGCAAGACTGCTCCATTGACTCCATTGATGTGTGCATGTGTGATAAGTGCATTCTCTTGAGCATTCTGTTAAAACAAAGGTAAAATTTAAAAGATGTTAAGTCTTCATAGACTTATTCCTTCTTTGGACTTAGTTACAAATAAAAAACATTAAGTGTGGCTAAAATGAAAATGGCATGCAAACCAAGACCAATATTTGGGCAGGCGCATGGTAAGGTAACCCAGGTGATGTCTGTGCTGGTTGTTCAAGGATTGGACTAAAACCAACAGACTGATAATTGCTATGCAGCAAATCCCATTGAATCCCATTTAGCGTAAAACTTCAGCTGGAAGATTATAGGTTATCAAACAGGTTAGACTAATTCTCCATGGGGTCTATTTCAGTCCATCTGTTACAAGTAACATCCTTTTGTGTATGTTCCATGCTACCCATGGAAACCTCCCCCCACCCTCTTGGGTTGGGATTTTGACATATAGGTACTGCCTCAGGGTTAGGAATTTGACCTGGCCACCATCTTGAAGACCACACAAGTCATCCAACATCTTTGAAGTCATCTGACAGTAACCCCATGAACGTCACTCCATCCTGGAGCAAACCATTAGTAGGTGCATAGTAAGAGAGTTTAAAATAGTATTGGAATAAATTTGTTCTTTACTAACACTGATGCGCTAGCAAGGTTGGGAGGGGGCAAGCAGCTTCTTATGAGTGGGGGGCCAGTAACCATAATTCTACAGTAATTGTTAGCATTAAGGCAACTGCAGTATCCATTGGGACCAGTTGATATTGGGTGATGTTTTCCGGGCCTCCACCAACGAGGGGCTTGTCTTAAAACAAATCTGGATCTCGCCTAAACCATTCCTCACCTTTTGAACTTCTGATGAACTTCGACTATAAAGAGCCACGGGGGAGATCCTCATGGCTGCACCGTTTCCATAGGAACCTTGTCCATCAAATTGAGAGCGAGCCGGAAGTGTAACATCTTCGGGATTCGTATCCCGCAAGCGCTTAAAGACTGTCCCGACAGCAGCACCATAGCCACGATCAGGCTCTTTAAAGAATTCCTGAACAAACGCTTTTGCTATGCTGCGGTTATCGTACTTCTTTTCCTCAGTTAACGACTTGCAGATCGCTCGAGTCATCGCTGTATCATCCGTGTAATGGATCGGTTCCTTCTCGTCTTTGATTCTTTTCAAAGTGTAATCGGTAACTTCTCCCCATGGTAAAGTGCTGGAGACGCCTTCATAGTTTGATCCAAGGCAGTCACCAACCAAGGCACCAACAAGTGTTCCGCGAAACTTGTGTAACATTTTACTCATATCTACAAATCCTTCAATGCAAGGTGTCTTTCACCAGAATCTAGCATAATTTTGTCAATATTTCCTAACTCAGTTCAAAAACTTGAGTGTCCTAATCCAGCGGTTTCCCATGAAATCCCATTAGCCTTAGCAAGCAACAGCATTTCCATCATGGCGGCAAAATTTGTTTTTCCTTCGTACACCAAAATCGTCTTGACACCTCGACAGTTTTCGAAAAACGTGCCGTTTATTACAAAGAAGTTATTTCTTAATTCAAGAAGAAACAGATCTACATCAAATTTTTCGTATCCTCTTTCAGAAACTTTAGAGAAAGTCAAGGAATCACTGGCCGCGATTGCCAATGACAAACTCCCAAGGAAAACCACTAGCGTGTTTGTAGGAACAGGGCAATACTACGATCATGAGACCAACGAAAGAATAGTTGTAATATCTCTTGGAGAAAATGGAAACTTAGAGCTACCGATTGTCCTTCACGATACCTCCCTTCCTCGCGGTGAAGTTGATAAACTGGAGAAGAAACTGAACTCTTTGTCAGAGGTGGGTTCCGTTCATTCTGGCGAGTTAGACAGCGTGCAAGACTCTCCCTGGAAATTTGGATTTGCTTGTAAACCTTCGTTTTCTATCTTCTCGACCTCTGGATTTTGCTGCCAATTTCAACATTCAAGTGTAGAAGGAGAGTGCTTTAGAATCTTTGATGAACATATGCATTTGCATGAAGATGTACCTCTCTCAGAGATAGAGCATATCCAAGTTTGGCTGTCTCCAGAGCCATGGGAGGAGAGGAAACTACAACTCAAAATGAAGAATGGAGATTTGATTAGTGTTCTGGAAGACTATGAAGAGAACATCTCCAATGAAAATGGTTTGGCTTCCCTGATGCTAACCACTGAATGGATGGTGAAGGCTGCTGGACATATGTGTGTAACAGCCAGACAGTTTGGAGCCACCACAGTTTCTCTCAAACTTCCTTCTGTACTTAGAGCTGATGTCAATCCATGGGTGGCAATGAGAAACAAGATCTGGGCAGAGAAAAACAGTGAGAGTTGAGAACAGGAGGAATGGGCTCCATTGACAAATACAGGTGGGATTCAGTTAATTGATAGACTGGTAATGGGTATATATACATGTACACCTGTAAGACCACTTTGAACCCTTTCACTCCCAAGATCATTTTAGTAATTCTCCTCACTGACTGTCATTTTTTCTTGTGATGTTAGTTTTGAGAACTAGGTATTAGATCAACTAATAATCCCCTTCTTGAAATTTTTCTTTATTGTGATATTGTGAGGAGAAGTTCTGTTTTGGTTACTTGTGGGAGTCATAGGGTTAAGACCAATTCCAAGAGATACTTTGATGTATGGTGATGTTTATTTCTGTAATTTCTTTGATTACCTTTCTAAGAATCAGTTTGTAGCTTGTTTTCATTTTCAGGTAAAAACATTTTATTTTTCATTTATTATTTGTGATCAGAGAATGCTCTCAAATTTGCTTCTTTCTCAATAAGGTTCCTCACAGCTCAGTTGGTAGTGTCCAATTAATAGCTAGGGGGGGACTCGAAATATTTGGTTCGAGATGAGACAATAATCAGGGTTTACAAGTCCAGAATAGGTTACTTGTACTCCAATAATTGCTAATTCATGTAAACTGGAAGTTCTCCTTGAAAAGGAAAGTGGTATTTTTAGTTGGGTGTACTGTTAAAAACATTACAATGACAACTTCAGAGGGTAGTTTTTTAATGAACTCTATTTTGTTATTGCGATGGCGGCAAGCTATAGATTGGTTGTAGATATGAAATTGTGACTCTACATGTATATAGCTTAAATTTTTTCCCAACAGGGCATGCTCTCATTGGTTACCTTGGAGTCATGTGACATCTCTAACAAAGAAATTGTTTGAACTCAAAAGTCTGTGATTGGACAACATTGTAAAATCTTTGACAGCAAAGAATTAAAGGGTACAGTCACCCATAAATGTTGACTGTTGACTTTCATTGCATGTGAATATGGTGGTGTTAGATTTATAAATTATTGAATAAGAGTGAGGTCAAGACGGCTGGATATTGGCCAAGTTTTTTTTTTTTTGTGTGTTTATAGGGACTGAGGTGAAGTGGAGGTCTTAAAAACACTCCTCGCCCTGAAAAAAAAAGGATTTACTCCATAGCAAAAATATTTTGCTTTAATAAGAGTCAAGAATGACTTGTTTATTTTTGAGCACTGGGAGAGGAAGCCAACTGTGATTTGCACAATAACAGCAGTAGAGTGCACGATAAAGTGGCAACACGCACAATAACAGTGGCAAAGTGCACAAAGCTGGCTCAGAGCTATCCTGTTTATGCATATCTGAGTTGGTTGACTTGTCCTGCTTTTGTGTGATTTTCTCTAATTTGGCCCAACACCCAAAGAAAAACTGAGACAATGTACAGTCATAGGCAGTCTATGGTGAAGTTTGAAATCAGTGGATACAGTAGTAAGGTATACATGTAGACCTGTGGCACCAGGATGTGAAACTCTTCTTTTTCCACATGGTCATCAGTGTAACATTTTTGTATGTGCTTGTTCTACAGGGCACAAACTGTAATATCCAAGACAAAAAATACATGAAGATATCACCATCAAAGGAAGTTGTGTGATCTATACCAAAAGTTTTCTAACTGGAGATGCTGAGTGAGTAGCTTTTGAGACTTTGTCTTATTGTTATCTGATATAAATTTATACTCTGGTTATCCTATAGACTGTGGTTTATATTCCACTTCCATTGAAATGTTTTCCTCATGTTATTACCAATAGGTTTGTATTTTGGTTAGTATTGAAAATTTGAACAACTTCTCCCTGTGCATGTAACTACTATCTTGAATATTCCTCTGATTTTTGTCATACTACGCAGTTTAAGTGAATGATATATATTGTAAATTGCCATTTGAAGTGAAGTAAAAGTCTTACCACATTTTCCCTTTACACACCTGTACACACTTGTACATAAAGAGCATTACTTGCAAAAGGGGAAGATAATTGAAATGGGTGTTAGAAATGTTTATCATGTTTATCACATGTACTTTGCACCTCCAATCAGTTGATTTTACACATAATATATAGTGACTATACAAATATGCTGAGTATGCAAATTACTATGTAAACGACATCATTCATTAATTTGTTAGCAGTTGGTAATTTTGAGATTACTGCAAAATGAAAATTTATTTTACGCTCAGAATAAACTTCTTTGTTTTATTGATAGACATGAATTTGGTAACAAAACTGCATTGAATTACAACTTCATTTTGTTATACATGTGCACTCAGGTTAAAGAGTGCATTATTACCAGCAATTATCTTTTTTAATAGTTACATGAATAAGTTAAAGGGTTCATTTATGTTCTGCTTCGATTTTGCCAGTTAGGAGATCTTACAACTTATGGATGAGCAGTATATGCATGTATGGCTTAACACAACAAATTCCTGTCTACAAGTAAAATTGAATTAATAGAGGCAAACTTAAAACTGATAGTAGATTGGCTCTCCCTGTTGGATGAAAATTCCTGTCTGTAATGGTGACAAGGCTCTGTACAGATCATTAATCACTTCTTAGCTTGGGCGGTTTTCTCTCTTGTAAGATGATTCTCCTAGGCAACATTCCTGCTTAAATCACCAAGTATTTATCTGAGCATCCTTGTGCAAACCAGATATGACCTTCCACAAACACCCATTATTCAAAATGATAAAAAATAAATTGGATTTGGCTGTAATATGTGCAAAGAGATGCTCTTTGTTGACTGTTCAACCTTTGGTGCCATGATGTGTCTTGTAAACAACTCAGGAAATGCACTGTAAGAAAATTTCTCTAACCACTGCAACATTCCTACCCTTAACTGTTTCACTCCCAGAAGTGATTAACATGAAACTTCTCCCTATAATATTCAAACATATTAGGTAGAAGTTTGTATTCTGATCTAATGCCAAATTCTTATAACTAATTTACAAGGAAATGTGCAGCAGCTAGAGGGGGGAGTCAGCAATCAGATCTTGGGAGTTAAAGGGTTAACCCTTTTACTCTCATTAGTGACTAAAAAAGGAATTTCTCCTCAGAGAGCCAAAACTTTTTCTAGTAGAAATGTGGTGAGAAGATAGAAATACATTGCTTGATTGAACAACAAATTCTTACAGCTAAAATTATGTGAAATGTGTAACAGACAGTGTAGAGAATTAATATTTAGATCTCGGCGCTCCAGGCTTCTTTTGATTGGCTCCTTGTAGGCTGTCTTCTCTCACTGGCCTCAGTATTACTGAATCATGTCCCAATCTTAACCATATAACTTTTCCTCATTATATCCGTACACAATCCAGTAAATAGGTAATGACAAAACTCAAACTTATCTGGAAGAAGTTGTTATCTTGATCTAACACAAAATTGGCGCAACTAATTTACAAGGAAATATGTAGCAGCTGGAGGAGAAGTTTAACATTCTCATGTTGGGAGGTAAAGGGCTAAAAAAACATTGCCTGCAGCATCAGCACTCGAGGTCAAGGGTACTTTTGAAAGCATATTAAGAAATCTATCTCCCGTATCTTTTTTTTAAATTATGCCATCACGTTTTGTAGATCTTAAAATAGTATGGCCGCGTATACGTACGTAAACAACACTTGGAATCCAATGTTACCTACTACGGAACTCTTACACGGAAAGCTTACATCTACATGCATATCAGCTTTGGCACAATCCATTGATGAATTAAAACACTGTTCCTCAGTTTAATTGTGAACAAAATTCGAAACAAATCAGAAACAAATCAGAAACAAATTGAATTAGTTTGTAAGCTTGCACTCTATTTTTAAAATATTCATAAGCTAATCTAGTTACCTCACGCCAGTTTTGTTTTCCCTTTTTTTTTTCTTTTTCGGTTTTTCCAGCCTGGCACATTTGGATTATAAAATATTACCCTTGAAAGAAGGATGATTGATATTTACTTAAGTGTTCCAAAAATATACTAAAATATCGGAAGTGCAGTCAACCACTTACTTGCAGGTAGTATTTTGGTTAATTTTTTTGTCTTGTATGGCAAGAACAAAGAGAATCAGGAGGGAAGGAAAAGCGAAAAGTTTCATGAAAATCTCTAGACTCTTGTGAAACAGTGCAATTTGTTACGACACATTTCCGTAAATTTTGGAACAAAATTAGAATGATCGATGAGACGAGAACTTCTGCTCTTTTATGTTTTTTTTTTTTTAAGAGAAGTTATTCTTATACTCAAAATTATTAATAGGAGTTAACGTAGTGTCCACAATTTCCGCAGTCTGTGGCTGTAATTTTGAAAGAAGATCACGAAATATACCACCCGCGCGTGCATTTTTTTTAAACAATAATATTATGACCTTTCTGATACCATGAAATAGTATGACTGTATGTGTGGACACGAAACAGTCGTCGGACTATGACCTTATATGGAGTAAAAGTGAACACCCATACAGACAGTGTATACATATTTTCAGTGCAACTAGTTTTTGGAAGAATCTTCTCAATGAATGGAATAAATTTTGCTCAAGAGTGAGAAAAGAATATCTATGTGTGATCGTTTTTTCTTCTCCTCGTTGCGAAAAGAAGTGATACTATCCCTTAAAAGGATTTGAAAAGAAGTGATGCAAGTGTCTTTTCAGTTTTTGTTGTTCTTAACCCTTTAACTCCTATAAGTGACCAAGACAGAATTTCTCCTTACAATATCAACACAATGTCAACCAGACAAGTGATGAGAATAAAGAAAAATATCAATTGGGGGATAATTAGTTGATCCAATACTAAATTTTCTGAACTAACATTGATGGAATTGTATGGTTGACGGAAAGGAGAATTGCAAATTTGATCTGGGAGTTAAAGGGTTAACCGTCCTTGTTACGTTTGAGATTGTAATTACTCAATTATTGCTCTTTCTTCATCTCGCTTTTTCCCCTTTCCTCCCAACAATTCAAGAGATGGAGCGACGACTTCCCAGGCCAATTTAACAGTGTTCCCTTGTTCTCCCCAATTATCAGTCTGTGAACGAACCGTCAGAGCCCAATTAGACTTGCGTCACCGTTAAATACGATCGCACAATATAGACTTAGGTCTTACGGTCGTCTGGCAAAGGTTATGGTGTTGAATTTTGCACGGCTTTACGATTACTTTTTTTTCCTTTCCGGCGCTCTTGAATCCTTTTAGTTACCACTGATAATCACTTGTTTAATCATTCTACTGCATAAAAATAGCAACGTAGCACTCAAGTGGGAGTAATTTTCCTCTTATTACAATACTGCTGTTCTTAGTCTCAGCAGTAATCAAAGTTCTTAGCCGCTTAGTTCACACTCAAATCACAAAATATCTCGCAAAGTATCGGCAAATTTGCTCTTTCTTTTTTTTTTCTTCTTTCACTCTCTTTTTCCTTTGCGCTTTTGTTTTTGTCTGTTGGTCCTAACGTGATTCCCTCACGCCCAACTGAAAAGCTTTCCTATCCAGGGAAATTCAATTATGAACTGTTTTTTTTTTATGTTTGTAATTGATTTATTATGTATACAGTTTTGCGGGCTGTTTCTGTTGATAGTATCGTCATTTATTGGCTAATGGAATTACACTCGCCAGGTAAAGGCGTCTATCAGTTTGTCTATCTGCAGTATATCGAGTGTCCCACGCAGCCTTCATTTTTACGCGCGAAGTTTCCTTACTCGCTTTACTCGGGTTGTGTCTGATCAATTGCCACAGCTGCCTTTTTACTGCTAATATCGCTAAGCTTCATCAAATGATCACTTCTCGCCGTTCTTAGTTGAAAACTAGCTTAGGCAGTATTCACTTTCTATTTCAAAACTGCTCACGTTCTAGTACACTCGTTGCGTGTTTAAATGTCGAAATGCGTTTAATGGATCGTTAATCCTGTTAATCACCAATTACGGTTCGGGTGATGGTTACGGCAGCCCTATGGCCTGTCCACAATAGCTGTTACAATGCCTCTTAACGGCCTTGTTAAATTCATAAATGAGCCAGAACGACCCGTGTGGTTAAAAATGTTCCCTAGTGAGAAGTTCGAGACTCGTCTAAGTTATTCTTTTGGTGTGTACCACGCACGTCTTCGCTGAAACGGAACAAAGTTGATCTGACGCGTTCCACGTACGCGCAAAGCGCTCATCTACCCACGTTTTATTTTATCGGTGTGTCGGATTTACAAAGGTGTTGAAAAATCTAGTATGTGACAAAATTAATTCGCGCCTCCACTTGGTTTAAACCATGAAATTTTTGGAATTACATGATTGTATTGCTCAATTTTCGTGGGAGGTCATATAATATAGAAGCAAATACGAGCTAAGATGGTAGGAATTTGAGTGGGCCGGGTTATCGGGTGCAAACGGGAATGTGTAAAAATTTTCCACAGAAACTTTTACGAGATAAGGTAAATTAGAGGAAGTGATTATGTTTGCTTTTCAAGCACGTGGCTGAGGTTTCAACTGTAAAAGGCGGTGATTTTTCATACTGCATTTATTGCTTCTAAGTGCGCAATTAAGCTTTTCTTTTTCCAGTTTTTTCTACGATATACTTAGCAACTGATTATCTCAAATAATAGAATGCATTACTGAGTCAATCTCAATTACAACTTCCTTGGTTACTGGAATAGCGTTTTGGCACGTCTTCTTGTTAGGGACCATCATATTGCTCACACAGTTTACAATTGTTGCATCAGTTGACGTAAAACGCAAAACCAACACGGAATCTTTCAAGTTAAAACGCTTGGTATTTAGGTGGCGTTTGAGAAACGTGGGTTTTAACATGCAAACAATGGCATCATACAACGGAGCAGAGTCAACTGCATTTAAAGATTTCATTTGATTTTCGCCATTCTTGACGTCACATTGTGGTGTTTCAGCGCAACAGTATAATTTAGATGGCCTGAGGGTAAAAGCCAAACATTTCCGCTCCTTAAAATGACACAGATTTCGTGACTTCATCCCCTTTTGCGTTTTCCTATGTCGTTTACTTCGGCTACAGAAAACACTGGTATTTTGGAGAACGTGAGAGGAACAAGTCTCCTATTTTAGTCATTGGTCTCTCAGTCTTTTGATAAAGAAGTGGTTTGATATTGAGATGATATTGAGGAAGAAACCACGTCATGGTTTCGTGATTTGGTTTGCGTCATTTTTGCGTTTTGGGTGAAAGGAGATCATGATATTTACTTTTTACATTATCACGATTTT